TCTTCTTATTATTATTTTTTTCTCATACTAACTGCAGTGACATGCAGGACTGAAGGAAGTTGAGCAGCAGCTCCGGAACGTCTGCTGCCACTGCTCGGGGCTTCCAGGATGACAAATGTGACCACACGCATCCGGGCTTTGACAACACGTTTGCAACCTTGAATGTGACTGCAGAACAAAGCACGGTTACTATATACAGGGATAAAAAGGCTGGATGCAAAGCACCACCCTGCTGTAGCTGCACTCGCCCCCAGCCAAGGCCTGAGGACAGAGCCACCTCCTGCTGCCACCGGGGTGTCCCCGCAGCAAAGCACCAGCCGCAGGGAAACCTCAAAGCAGCCAAACCCCACAAAAACAGAAAGCCCGTCGGCTTTACTCATTCTATCTTAAGCCGGCAATATTTGCATTTATTGTGATAAGCAGAGGAAAAAGGCCCTCGAGGGAATTAAATGCAAAATACACTTCTTTTTTCGTTGTATAATCTCCATCTCTCCGTGTATTACTTCACTGCGACTGCTTCAGAAGGATGAAGCAACTTCCAGAGCCCCGAGTTGGTGGCAGGGCCGAGAGCTGGTGGTTACACACAGCTCTCCTTCTTTCTAGTTGCTCTTATCCAAAGCTGTTCTCCCTCAGTGGCAACCCATAACACTCTAGAAAGCACTTGCCACTGGCTATATATCCCCAGCAGCACCAGAAAGTGTGCCTGTGCCTTACTGGGTTATGTGGGGGAGAAGAAAAAGAGTAATTGCGAGCAAATGTTTGCTCTCCAGACCACAGGCCACTTCATTTCCTGGTGGGTGGGGAGGAGAAGACCTAGATCCTCTCTCAAGCAAGAAAACAATACCAGAAAAACATGAAACCCCCCCACATCCCTAACTTTGCAAATGAAAAAAAAATAAACAAAAATTTCCTCTCTAAACCCAGCAAGTTTTAGCAGACAAGCAACAAGTCTGGTGTGTAACATGGGACTCTGACACGGATTCTGGAGATCATCTCTTCTTTTCGCCGTGTCTGCAGTTGCTGTAGGAGGCGAGGAAGGAAAACCACCCACGCAGCCAGCAAAACAAGCCTGGGGGGGAGAGAGCCTAGAGAGATGGAAGCACGGGCTGTAGACCACAAACACGAAGTGCCTGGCTCCCAGGAGCGGTCTGGACACCAGGAGTTGGATGCAGCAGTTTCCATGGCCCACAGCACCAGCAGCAGCACGTGGGGGAGCTGAGCCCACCATCTCCAGCACTTCACAGCCCCCAGGTTTCAGCCCTACTCCTGGAGCTTGCAGGGGGACGTCAGATGAACGAACACAGCTCTCTGGGACAAAGTCCATAGTCAAGAGCAATGCAGTTGTTGGCAACAAATGCACACTCGTATGACTGAGAAGAATTTAAACAGCTGGCTCCTTTCCACAGGAGATCAATAAAACTGGCAACCCAATTGCCTTCAGGAAGAGGGCACACAAGTGCTTCTGGTGGAGCAGGAAAGCTGGGGCAATTTCTTACCCAAAAACCCAACAAAATACCAAAATGCCAATGCAGAAAATCACAGACTGGACCTGTGCAATTAAGCTTCTTTCCTCCTTGTATCCTTTTTCTTCCAGGAGCAAGACTCTAATTACTTTTTGGCCTCTCCCCCTTTCGTCTCTTGAATAGAAGTCCACAGTCAAATCACTCTCTCAGCCTGCACCGTCCCTGCTCGAGTCAACGCTTGGGTGCTTCTGAATGCGGCATTTTGCGTCTGTCATTTTACATTCGTAGCCTCCAACGCCGTCTCATACCAAGTAACACTGTTCCCTTCAGCTGTACGTCACACAGAAACACTCCTGGACAGAAGCTACACAGCCACATTCCCACCTTTGGTGTCTACAGCTCATCTTCATAATTACAGTCCCCCGTGCGTCCTCGCCCCAGCCCACGACTCACCAGCACAGCATTCACACTGCGACAGATTAAAGAGAAAGAGCAACTTTCCATACGAGACTTCCAAATTCAGCAGGAAACTGGTGCTGGAACTATTACATTATGATTTCTGGGGTGAAATTCAAGTAGGAGGCCAGACCAAGACTGCAATCATCGTATTCTGACTTCCAGAATATTCAGTTATCTCTACGTGTGAGAACCATGGCAATGAACCACCCCAAACCAAAGTCACCTTTACCTTTACCATCCAGAGTACAAAGCAAACCCCATCATCGAGAACAAATAAAGGACTTTGCAACCAATGAAACACACCAAAGATAACACTGAGCAATAACTCCTGGTGCTGCAAAACCCATCATGGGGCAGTCACACTTTCTGTGTAACACCCGTGTGACACATGTGCACAGGAATTAGGTGAATTTTATCAGAAATCCCTCAGAACATACTTGGAAGACACCTTTGCTTAGACATTAGCTTCATAGGATATTCTTTCCTCACAGATACATACTACTGAATATAAACTATATGGAGAGCAATGCCTTGAGGAAACATTTTATATACTGTGATGTGGAAAAATTATACTGCATAACAAAGTATGACTTTGCCAATAAAAGACCACAAAATCTGGGCACCCTCCAAGACTTACAGCCCCAGGCTGTGAGGTGTGAAGCAATCTCAACCCCTTTTCCCTTCAGTGGGAGACGATGCTTTCCGGAGTCCCACAAAAAGCTTCGCCGACTTACAGAAATGGGGAAGTTGTTTTCTGAAAAGGAGGAGATTTTATACTTATTTCTGGTTTGCTTCCACTCAAGCAAACTAGCCTTTTAAAAACCAAAATAACACAGTGCCGGTCGTCAATGACAGTTACACAGCTGACTTGGGAGGAGTGAGAGCCCTTACTGGGCTGATGTTAGCCAGTTCAGTTACTTCGCTGGAAACAGCCTTGACTCTGTTCCATCTCTCTGTAGCAACCACCTCTGATGTGGATTTTCCATTCCCCGAGTGGGTTATTTCAAATTCAGCACCCAGAAAGGCTCCTCTGGTCCTTCAAGCGAAGCCTGTCTCACCCACGGCTTTAAGACCCACAAAAACGACTCATTGCCATGGAGCACGTTTCCCTCCGGAGAGGAGCCTCTCTGTCTTATTTTGGGTTGAAGCATCGATTAAAATTCTTATATGAGAAAGAAAATAGCCACCCGGTGAGGTACTGGGCTGATCCCTGCCAACAGAAACACCCTCGGTGTACTCAGTAAACTGAGAACGTGCAAGTCCTGCTCATTACCACACGATTACTTGAGCTGCACTGGCTTTAGACACAGGCATGAGTACATACATATATATACACACGTCATATAACTGGCAATTATGTGCATGTTACACTTGAATTCCACAAAAACAGGCTATGCCAACGCTATATTTAAATTCCACAGTCAAAGATGCACAAAGGAGCCTGAAAGACAGCAGTAAGTCAGAATCGAGCCTTGTAATGTGTACAATCCACAAAAGGATGAGACAGCATTGCAGAAACCACTAAGCTAATAATTAAAAACCTAATTAAAAAACAGGAAAACACAGTCAGGATTGAGATCAGTGGTTGCACCCCTCGAGCTTAGTATCACCACACAGACAGAAATCAATAACTGCCATTAAGAGGTCACCGATAAAAATCTATAGCAACTGAATCAGTCAACTTGAAACCTATTAACAGCTGTATTAGAAAGAAAGAATTACTTTTTCAATTTGCTAATGACCACTTCTTTCCTTCCAGATGATCATTCTGTGTAAACCCAGGGGAAATCCCTTTGGACACCCATTATGAATGAACTACTCACAATTTCAAGACACTCTCCAGATCAGCATCAGATAATCATCTGCTTTTCACAATCAGCATCAGCACATTGATGTCAGCATCGATCTGAACAAAAATGATGTGGGAAGAGAGCGATGGTAGGGACCCTCAAGGTCCACACTCTGGTGCCATCGCCACCACAGGGCTCAGCCTCTGTCATTAGAGCTAAACGAGGGGTTACGGCACCACAGCCATCAACGGCAAAGCTTACCAACGTGGTATTTTGTCTGCTGAAGACAGTAGATCAGTGACTGCACTCAACTGGAGGAGAATTCAGGGAGGGTTTGTTTAATCTTCTGTACATCGCTGTCCTCTGAAAGTTTGGGAACCTGCACCTGGAGCACTCAGCCTAACAGTGACATGAAAGGTCACCACATCACCACAGCTCAGTCTCTTTATTGACTCGCAGTAAAAGTCACTGATCATTAACTGCAATTGCTGGCATTTTTCTGCATCTCTGGCATTTTGTAGGTCTCCGGCACATCCATACTCAGTGTGACAAAATCCCCTCGATTTCAGAGTCAGAGCATCATTCCCACAGATCCAACAGAAATCAGACGATCCTGAAGACATCGCTGCTACACCCGAACCCAGGCACAAAACCCCAGTATTTTTGTTTGTTTGTTTATTTTCCTTTTGAAAAACACAACCTTCTGACCGAGCTCTGCCTGCAACACCCTGGGGCTGTGAGAAGGAAAACCCAGTATTCCCACACAGCCTGAAACGGCAGCTACTGGGACAGTACCCACGCACGCCTGCCGCCGATACCGAGTCCATGTAAGAGGAATAAACTCATCGAAACCGGACACTGGCACGATGGGTGACACCATTTAGAAATAAACTCCAAGAACAACAATAACCAAAAAAAAAAAAACCTAACCCCGCATAGAGCTGGTTGTGCCTCAGCAGCGCAGGACGGAGGGATGTGAAAGCCGCTCGGCCCCGCCGAGGCCAGCCCGGGTGCGGGAGCGGGGACCCAGAGCCCGCAGGACTGAGGTGCGGGACGGAGAAAAGGACGGAGAAAAATGTCATTTTTATTCTGGACGGGCAGCTGCAGCGCACACACACCTCCCCGCCAGCGCTGGATGCTCCTCTCGGTCCGCTGAGGGAGGCGAAGCCCGGCTGCCCCAGCCTCTCCTCACGCCGCCCGGCTCCCGCGGATCTGAGGGGAGCCCGGCCCGGCCCCCGCCTCACCACCACCCTCCCGCCCGGTATAACTTTCCCGGAGCGCCTCTTACCGCCGTGGAGCCGGAGGAGGAGGCGATGTAGACCTTGATGACCATGCTGGGAGAAGAGGCGGCGGGATGCGGAGCCGGGCGGGTGTGGGTGTGTGGCACGGCACGGCACGGCCAGGCGAGGCGCGGGCTGGGGCTGGGGCTGAGGCGGCGGCAGGAGGGCGGGAGGGAGGCGGCGGCGGGGAGGCCTCGCCCCGCCTCACCGCTCTCACTGGGCTGGCGGCCCAGCCGTCAGCACCGCCCGGCCCGGAAGAGGGGAAAAATGGTTAAAAAAAAAAAAAAAAAAAAGGGAAGAAAGAAAGGGGCTGAGGCGAGTTCTCGATGAACCACGCGAGAGGTGGGGGGGAGGGGGCGCCCGCGCCATGGCGGCGGGAAGCCCCGCCGAGGCGAGGCGGGGGCCCGGGCGGGGCCGTCGCCTCAGGGCAGGGGATGAGGAGCGGAGGGCCCGCCATGGCAGCGGCCGCCGCCCCTCAGGGCCGCCGGGCCGGGAACGACATCGGACCGTCCCGGCTCCCCGTCCGGCCGCAGCTTCCCCTCGGCCCTGGAGACCCGCCATCTCCTCCAGCCCTGCCGGGGGTGCCCCTGCCTCGCCGTGCCCGGCGTGAGGGAGCACCGGGAGGCGCCTCCATATCCCACCCGCCGGCTCCCGTTGCCTCGGCCTGTCGCCGGGAGGAGTGGCAGAAGGTTGGGCTGGGCAGATGTTACTGTGCGATGATAATTAGAATTAAGAATTTCCTTTTAAAGTATATTCCAGCGTGAAAGCCACTGGCCAAGCGGCGTGTGGGCCCGTGCCAAAAGACAGACCACTTGGCCATGCAGTTGAGTTGTGTTCAGCATGGATGTAGTGGTTTTGGGCTGGAGTGGCCATGGAGATGAACGACAAATGTTGGGTAGAGTGCACCCTCAGCAGGTTTGCCAATGACACCAAACTCAGTGGTGCGGTCGACACGCTGGAGGGAAGGGATGGCATCCAGAGGGACCTGGACAGGCTGGAGAGGTGGGCTCGTGCAAATCTCATTAAGTTTAACCAAGCCAAGTGCAGGGTCCTGCACCTGGGACATGGCAATCCCAGGCACAAATCCAGGTTGGGTGGAGAATGGCACGAAGATGATCAGAGGGCTGGAGCACCTCTGCTGTGAGGACAGGCTGAGAGAGCTGGGGTTGTTCAGCCTGGAGAGGAGAAGGCTCTGGGGAGACCTTAGAGCAGCCTTTCAATATCTGAAGGGAGCCTATAGAAGAGCTGGGGAGGGACTCTTTGTCAGGAAGTGCAGTGACAGGTCAAGGGGCAACGGTTTTAAATTGAAAGAGGGGAGATTTAGATTAGATACTAGACAGAAATTCTTTACGGTGAGGTTGGTGAGACACTGGCCCAGGTTGCCCAGAGAAGCTGTGGCTGCCCCATCCCTGGAGGGGTTCAAGGCCAGGCTGGATGGGGCTTGGAGCAACCTGTTCTGGTGGGAGGTGTCCCTGCCCAGGGCAGGGGAGTTGGGACTCGATGGTCTTTAAGGTCCCTTCCAACCCAACCCATTCTGTGATTCTATGATTCTTCATCTTTTTATAATTATTGCAATGTATCTTCCATCAGAAAAGCACCTACTGCGGGTCTGCCCCTTCCTGAGCTGCCCCTTTGCTTCCCTTCCCTCAGCGGTTCGTGTCTGTGCCACGGACGGGGACTTCTTGCTCCGCTCGGTTAATGCAGGATCCTGGGGCCCAAAGGGACACTGCCAGCCATCACACACTGCAATTCCACGGCGCTATTTCATCATTTGTATTAATTAGGACTGCTGGATGAGACCTCGAAGAGTTCTTAATTGTTATAGTCACTGTGACACGTTATTGAGGGAAATTTATATTCAGCACCTGTCTCCCACTTGCCTCTGGTACTCCGAATATTACCTTAGATATATTTCATTATATATTTTAATAGTAGCTTCACAGAAAATAGAAAATACAGTGATAAACATAGCAAGCTGAAATTTTACCATCTACAAGCTAAGATGAAAGAGGTTTGTTCTGCTGTTGGCAAAAAGGGGAGGAGGTATTTTTGAAATTATTTTTCCAAACACAATAAGCCTGCCTGTTTCAAATTATCAGATGTTTTTTCAAACCACAGACATGATTTTTAAAAAAGGCTGTTGAATTAAAAAGTCATTACTGAATTACTGAATTGTCACCTATGTTTGTTTTATTAATTTGCCAATAGTAAGCAGAGAGGGAGCTGTTTTGAAGATGACACGCCTGATTTTGATATTACTTATGATACGTATCCAAATCTTTGAGACTTTCATGAGATACATATGTTTTGAAAATGCAATAAACCAGAATTTATTTAGGATGGTGGTACACAATGAAAATTCCCCTGTTCAGGGAATTTCAAAATTTAATAAAAATAAACAGTGTACTTTTTAATCTCTTTAAAACAAACTGAGTTAAGTCCAGGAGATTAAAATTCTTCAAGGAATGTTTCTTCGGATGTGTTTGTCCAAGCCCTTTCACAGCTGCTTGAGCAATGCACTGATAATTCCCATTTCCTCCGGAGCACCAGGCTGGGTGCCAGTCTGATTCATGGCAAGGAACACCAGAGGTAGAAACCACAGCTCATCAGGAAGAATGAAAAACTGCAGGTGGCAAACAGGCCACATACAGGTTTATTTGAACTTTGGGCTCACTTGTCATTCCACTGGCTGGCCGCCGGCTCTCTGGCCAGCTCTCTTCCTCCTCCTCCTCCTCCTCCTCCTCCTCCTCAGCCCTCTCCTCCTCCTCCTCCTCCTCCTCCTCCTCACACACCTCAGATCCTCGGAGTTGAAATTCTTCTGGAGTGAGCTGCACCTTGTCTTTTTCTGCCTCCTAAAAAAACCCTGGCATAATCATTGCTCTCAAAAGTGCACTTTAGAAGGCCTTTTATCTTCATGAAAGAAGATTTATTAAGTTAAGAGCAATACATGAATTGGGTATTATTGAAACGACCGGGTTTTCTTGACTCATAATAGTAAATTTTCTACTCTATTGGCAGAAAAGCCCAATGTTTTCTATTCCCAGGCTACTCGTGTAAAACCCATGGTATTATTTTTGTTTTCACTATTAAAACTGTTGCGAAGCGTTTTAATTATCCTTCTCAAGGTAGACCAAAACCTCAAACAAAATTAACACATTGACAATTTGTCTCCGAGAGGAAAATCTCCTGTTCTGGTGCAGCCAGCAAAACAAAAATCTAAGTGTAATCCTCAGTGAGGATTGTTGTCTCCTTGAACCCTTTGGGCACTCGCTGTAGCGTGTCTTTGTACAAGGCCATCTTGTCAGGCTGCATCTTTTATTACTGTTGCTAGAAGGCAAATGAAATTGTTGAATTTTGGTTGATATTATTTTACATATTTGGAAGCAGCACCGTGGAGTAAGTGGCAGCACCGGCGCTGGCAGGAGTGTCGGTGCCCCCCCAGGGGGGAGCCCAATGGATTGACCACCATGGAATCACCTGGGGATTGCAGATAAAAATGTTGCTTATAATGGCAAAGATCCATGTGCTTTTTTCTTAAACCACAGACAAGGATGGTAGCTTCTGGAAAATTAAACTTTTTTTTTTTTAAAAAGAGATGTAATAGAATCTCACAATGAGAGATATTACAGTAATCAGCTGCAAACTCCCTCTTGTGCGAAAGGTCAGGAGGAAGCGCATGTGCTCCAAATGCTCCACAGCTTCTTTGGATCCCCGGAGAGGAACACATCCAGAATTCATAAAACATCAGAGTGGTTTTAGTTCTCCATTGGTGCTTGTGCTGTTGCTGGAGAAGGTGGTCCAGACCCGTCTCCCAAAATGGAGATGTGTGTGATGGGTAGGAGATCACAGCTCAGTGCTCAACAGGAAATCAGAAATTTCTTCATTTCCAATCCCAGCCTACCCAGCTTGACAACCCCTGGAGCCAGAAGGCAAACGGTGACTTCACCCGTGCTCTGCAAGAGCCGTGTCCTGCTGCAGCCCACGCCGGCCTGATGCTGATCTACGGTGGGTGGAAACGCCGCTCCCCTGCTCCAACCTGCTCACGGAAAGGGGTGGGAGAGTCCAGAAGATCTGCTTCTCCTCCTCCTCCTTCTTCTTCGCCTTTGGAAACAGCAAGGCCGGGGTTCCTTGTTTTTGTATGTAATTGTGCAAGACACGGGGCAGTTGATTGCATGAGGAAGTAAATAAACCACACGGCACAGAACACTGCACTGCTTTTAATCTCTCAACTACCTCTACCGTGGAACTAATGGAGTTCTGCTAAAGTCCCCCCCTGGAGTACTGTGTCCAGCTTTGGAGCCCTCATCACAGGAAGGACGTGGGACCTGTTGGAATAGGTCCAGAGGAGGCCACAATGATGCTGGGAGGGCTGGAGCCCCTCTGCTGTGAGGACAGGCTGAGAGAACTGGAGGGGTTCAGCCTGGAGAAGAGAAGGCTCTGTGGAGACCTTAGAGCCCCTTCCAGTACAGGAAAGGGGCCTACAGGAGGGTTGGGGAGGGACTTGATCAGGGAGTGGAGCAATAGGACAAGGGGGCACAGTTTTAAACTGAAATAGGGCAGATTTAGATGAGATCTCAGGAAAAACTTCTTTCCTGGGAGGGTGGTGAGAGCCTGGCCCAGGTTGCCCAGAGAAGCTGTGGCTGCCCCATTCCTGGAGGGGTTCAAGGCCAGTCTGGAGGGGGCTTGGAACAACCTGGTCTGGTGGGAGGTGTCCCTGCCCAGGGCAGGGGGTGGCACTGGATGATCCTTAAGGTCCCTTCCAACCCAAACCATCCCGTGATCCGATGCAGAGCTGTGTACCTGCACGACACAAAACACAACCACCACTCCCGGCCCCATGCTCCTCGGACCGAACACATCCCTCTCCGTCACCATGAGCAGTATCAGGGGCAAGCGTGGGATTGAAGCAAGGCTGAGGAGACACCTTCCCTGTGGTGACAGCAGCGATCATAGAATCATAGAATGGTTTGGGTTGGAAGGGACCTCAAAGATCATCTAGTTCCAACCCCCCTGCCCTGGGCAGGGACACCTCCCACTAGAGCAGGTTGCTCAAGCCACATCCAGCCTGGCCTTGAACCCCTCCAGGGATGGGGCAGCCACAGCTTCTCTGGGCAACCTGTTCCAGTGTCTCACCACCCTCATAGTAAAAAATTTCTTTCTGATATCTAATCTGAATCTTTTTTCTTCCAATTTAAAACCGTTTCCCCTTGTCCTATCATTACCCTTCCTGGCAAAGAGCCCCTCCCCAGCTCTTCTATAGGCACCCTTCAGATATTGAAAGGCCGCTCTAAGGTCTCCTCAGAGCCTTCTCTTCTCCAGGCTGAACAATCCCAGCTCCCTCAGCCTGTCCTCATCGGAGAGGTGCTCCATCCCAAAGGTGCGATGGGCACCTTTGGTGGCACTCGGGGCTCCTCTGCCCAAACCCGCCCCTTCCCACCCCCGCGCCCGGGAGCGGCGGCGTCACCCGGCCGGGGGGCGCCCCCTGCTGGCAGGCGGGGGGGGGGAGCGGGGGGGGAACCGGGGGGATGCAGGAGCGTCGGGCAGGTCCCCCCCATGGTCGCCGACCCCCTTGGTGGTCAAAGCTGGGTTTTGGTTTGGGGCGGCAGAGCACGGCTCTGGATGCAGGCTGTCCCCGTCAGCTCCACGCTCAAGCTTGCAAATAAAGGCAGAACGGGTGATTTGAACACGGTTTAATAACGCGATATCCTGCTGAGAGTTCCAGTTTTGGGCACCTCAATCCAAGAGAGATCTCGAGGTGCTGGAGCGGGTGCAGAGGAGGGCAACGGAGCTGGTGAGGGGGCTGGAAAACAAATCGTATGAGGAGCGGCTGAGGGAGTTGGGACTGTTTAGTATGAGGAAGAGGAGGCTGAGGGGAGACCTCATCACTCTCTACAACGACGTGAAAGGACACTGTAGAGAGGTTGGTGCTGGTCTCTTCTCACAGGTAATTAGTGACAGAACGAGAGGGAATGGCTTCAAGCTCCAACAGGGTAGGTTTAGATTGAACATTAGGAAAGAATTTTTCACCGAAAGAGTGATCGGGCATTGGAACAGGCTGCCCAGGGAGGGGGTGGAGTCCCCATCCCTGGCTGTGTTTAAGGGCCGTTTAGATGCAGTGCTGAGGGACATGGTGTAGGGGAGGACTTTGTAGAGTAGGGGAGATGGTTGGACTCGATGATCCCAAGGGTCTCTTCCAACCTAGACCATTCTATGATTCTATGATTTATAGAGCCGAAGCTGCCCGAAGTAACTCCGTGGTGGGGACCCGGGGTTTGTGCTGTGGTTGGGACCAGCAGCGTGATTCCAGAGTCATCTCCCGGCTGTGACGTGCCAGCGTCGGGGAGCAGCCCTGCAGCAGGCCGCTCTGATGGCATCTGGATGAAACCAAGCTGGAGGGTGACTCCAGGTCCAAGCAGGCTGCGCTGCAGCACAGGAGGAATCTATGTCGTGTGGGTCCTCCACGCCGGCTGCTTCGCTCGACAGCTTTGTTCCCGTTGCATCCCACCACCTGGAAGTGGGAAGTCTTATCCAACACAAAGGCCAGACAGCCCTTTCAAATATTTTCAGCAGAGCTATTAAAAAAAACCCCAGAGAACTTCTAAACTGAAGCCAGAGGTGCCAGCTAGTCCAAGGGCTGGAGTTTTTGCTCCAACAATCCGTTCGCAGCGGCAGCACGACTGCTCTCGCTGGGTCTCAGCAGCCAGAGCCCAGCTCCTGCTCCAGCTCCTTGCTGCTGCCTGCAAGGCCACCCACAGCAGCCAGCATGGGGGATTGTCACCATTCCTTGCCCCTGACACCTTCCTGACCCTCTGCTGACTTCTGTCTGTTCTGGCCATCCACATTTTGGGTTTAATCTCTTCTTTTCCTGGTGCTCCAGTCTGGCTCTCCATCCCGCTGGCTCCGAGCCACCGGCCAGCCCTGGCTCTGACAAGCCCCGTGCACACTCCTGAAGTGCACTCGGTTATCCTGACGTACCTGAGGGAAGTACACGGAAGGGAAAACTACAGACAGCAGGTTTTAAGCCAAAATAGCAGGAAAAGTCACTCCCTTAAAGCCATTTTAGGCCAGTTTGTTCAACTGGGCGTTCTCAGAAGGCTTCTGCCCTGAAAGGCAGAAGATACAATCCAGAAGTCTTCCAACACCCTCATCTGGGCCCTGACTCCTCCTGACTCGGGACCCAGACTGCACGAAACACGTTTTTGTGCTCTGAACACTAAATCCTGCCTTCCCTGAGCCCATCCAGCGAGAAACCTGCAGTTCCTGCTTGCTGTGAGCTGAGGGCAAGCTGAAAGAAGGGGAAGTGGAGCTGCCAGTCGGTATGTGATCCCTGCCATGCCACTGTTTGATGAGAAGTTTTTACTTACTGAGAGGCAGAAAAAAGATTCACCGTTGCTGAGGGCTTGGGGTCTCCTAGGACCAAGTCAGCTTTGGTCAAAGGGCCTGCTCACAGGCTTGCTCTCCTGCTTCCTTCTCCTTCTTGTGCTGGGCATCTTCAAATGGCTGTTGGAAAGACTTCTTAAAAGCTAAAAAAAAGCACTAAAGGTAGTGTGGCTTTGTAAAACTTCACTGTTACAACTCTGTTGCTCGGTCACAACCCTCTCCAGTGCCCAGTCTCCCTGGGAACAGATTTTAAAAGCTGGTGGCATCAGCCATCTCCTAAGGCTGCGTGTGGAAGCAGAGTTAAAGGAAGGCTTGCACGCTTCTGCGGGTGCAGAGAGGACCATCTGGCAATGGTTAGTTTGTTATTATTCGCTTTGTCGATTTATTTGAACCTTTTCTGATGCTTCAGCGCGAGACGGATCCTCGGGCGAGCTTGTGAGTTCCTGTCTGGGAACTTCCCCAGCCTCCTCCACAATAAATGCAGATGCAGAAAAACTCATTTGGGTTTTCTGCTCCAATATTGTCTTTTCTACATATTCCTTTTGTATCTCAATAGCCGATTTGTTCTAGAAAATGTCTTTCAGGCTTCCTGCTCCTGACAAGACCACAAAATGACTTACTATGCTTTTTAATGCTTTTTGCTAGTTGGGCATCAAACTCTGTTTTTTTTACACAATGATTTTTACGTTTCACTTGTTTATAATCTTTTCTGTTTTCCTCATGAAAACCCAAATGCAACTTTTTGAAGGATGCCTGTAGTGTCTGACAGCCTCCCATGTCCCGCCTTTTAGCCATGTTTGATTTTTTAGTCATTTTTTTAGCCAGGCTTGATCCTCCTGTGTGCTTTTTTTCACAGGTAATATACAGTTGGTCAGAGCTTCCAATGTGATGTCTTGCATAAAATCCTCTTACTCTTTTAGTTACCCTTTTCAGCATTTTTCGAGAAGCCTTCTCGCTGTTACAGAGTTCCCCTTTCCAAAATTAAGAACAACAGGGGATTTCTTTGCCTTTTGTTGCTCTGATCAGTGGTGACTCTCCAGTACGTAATGGTCACTGATTCAGAGTGATTAGTGAGGTCCTCTTCCTTGCCCTCAACCAAATCAAGAGTTGCTTCTCCTTTCGTGGCTTCCTTGACCAGCTGCTCCATAAAAAGTTGTTGAAATTAATGTCTAACCATGCACCCTTGAGCATAACAGCTGTGTGGTCTGTAGCAAGGTATGGGATGTTTCCCATCCCAGTTGTGTTTTCTGCCCTTGCTGCCTCCCTCATCTTCATCGTGTCGAGTTAGCTGCTGGAGCTAATCCTGTGCTATAGAATAGTAAGACATTCCCACTTATTTCTATGTTGAGAAGTCACCAAACCTGTTAATAATCTCCCTTGCGTTAAAAAATGCATTTTCTGGTTTATAATGCCAGATTGCACATCTGGCCTGGAATGGAGTGCACCAGCCCCCGAAGCTGCCTGCTTTTCTCTGCCTACACAAGGAGTCCAGACAACTAACTCGAACGTAAGCATGGCTTTGCCATAGATGAATCCTGCCTGTAGCTCCCTGGAAGTTGTTCTTATTTTGCAGATTATATTATTTCCACATCCCAGAATGGAGTTTGCATTTCTTGCCACGGTGTGACCTTGCCATAAAGGCGTATCCCAGTTTTGGGGACAGGACTCTTGAGCAGTGCTTCATGCACAGCCAGGAACTGGCAACACTTCGCCCACACACGTGGCTTTTGCAGCTCTTCAGACTCACCTTTCTCTTCTCTGCCATAACCTCAAGAGTTTCAAAGAGAGAGAATTGTTACCGTAATGGCAGTCATCAAGCCTTTGAGACCTGCTCAGCAGAGCACACCAGGCCAGAATTGTGGAAGAAAAGGCAAAAATGAAGACAGTGTTGGCAACCGATGAGCTGATGAAACGACTCGTTTTTCTTCTGTGTTTTTTTCTGGCTTCATTTTAGTAGTCGTCTTAGTTTTGACTGCTTTTCCAAATTACATCTCCTTTCAAAGAATCAAAACTGGAAGGAAGAAATAACTAAAAGACAAAACTTGCTGCTGACAGTTGGCTTGTCTGACCGCAACGGATTGAAATTTCTTCTTATCTGTATTTTGTGCTTAATAAAAGTCGGCATTTACTTCGGTGCTTGCAGTCATCCCCTTTACTACTGGGGACTAGCCAGGAAGCCGTAGCTAAGCCGAAGATTTTACTGAAGTAAAGATGAAAAGACAGACTCAGGGGGAATTCTAAACCAACCAGCAGACTTACACCTTCACGATCCCAAAATAATAACCATTAAATGTCTCATTGCAATCAATATTGAGATTGTGAACCAGCAAACACCTTGAAAACCATCCGGATTTTAAGATGTGGTTAACAGCACCTCAGAGGATGCTGGAGAGATGTAGAGCCCTGAGGTGACGGGTCAATAGGCCCAGAACAGCCAGGAGTCAGGCCACTGGGCTATTGAAATCGACTTGACTCAGTCTTGCCTGATTTTGCAAAGATTAGGGGTCAAAAACTGGACTGAGTCATGATAGTTTCAGTCTGAATGTCTTTCCAGGCACTTGGGTTGTTTGTAAGTTCCCAACTTGCTAAGTATTACTCAACATTTGGGCATTGCTCTGTAAGTTTAGCGTGGGCTGTTCAGTGTGACTGTTTGGAGTGCAGGCTGTGTGGGTTAGTTTTGTTGTGACACAGTGTCCTGGTTTCAGCTGAGATAAGAGTTAATTTTCCTTCTAGCAGTTGCTGCGTTTTCAGATTTGGGATGACAGGAATGTCAATAATGCATATTGGTTTAGTTGTTGCTAAGCGATGTGTATACTAGCCGAGGACTTTTTTCAGCTTCCTATAGAAGCTGGGAAGGAGCACAGACAGAATTATGGAATATTCTGTACCACAGACATCATGCTTGGAATATAAATGGGTGTTGGCTGGGGGTGGGAATTGGCCACCGCTGCTCAGGTTAAGCTGGACAACCAATTGACTGGGTAGTGACAGTGACCTGTGTCTTGTATATTCTTTTACCATTATAATTATTATTATTGCTATTTTCCTTTTTCATTATTGTTCTATTAAACTGTCTTTACCTCAACCCATGAGGGTTTTTTGACCCTTTCCTCTCCTTTTCTCCTTCTTCTCCCTACCCTTCTGGGTGGGGAAGGGGGAGTAAGCAGGTGGCTGCATGATCCTAGTTGCTGGCTGGAGTTAAACCTCAACACAGTCGTATTTTTCTGTGTGCAGACTGGATATTTTTACCTCTGGAGTCAATAACGTGGTTCAAATACCTATGCTCATAGAAGCAGCATGAAGCTTTCTCATGGAAACAGTAGCACAAAACAGATTAACGTCTGTTTTGATGCTGTGATTTACTCTTGACATAGTCCGGTGACACGGTATCATAAATTCAGGTTTGTATTGAATATAAAGTGCTAAAAAAGGTCACATGGTACAAACTAATAATCCAGAATAAACTTACTCTCCTAGGTTTAACTTATCACAGAATCACAGAATCTTCTAGGTTGGAAGGAACCTTAAAGATCATCTTGTCCAACCGTCAACCTCACTGACAAAAATAGACACCCACACAACAAACAAGGAGCATCATCACTAAACCAGACCTCCCAGCACTTCATCAACCCGTCTTTTGAACACCTCCAGGGATGGTGCCTCAACCACCTCCCTGGGCAGCCCATTCCAATCCCTGAGAACCCTTTCAGTGAAAAAATTTTTCCTAATATCCAGCCTGAACCTCCCCTGGTGTAACTTGAGGCCATTTCCTCTTGTCCTGTCGCCTGTGACTTGAGAGAAGAGACCGACCCCTATCTCTCTACACCCTCCTTTCAGGGAGTTGGAGAGAGCAATAAGGTCTCCCCTCAGCCTCCTCTTCTCCAGGCTGAACAACCCCAGTTCCCTCAGCCTCTCCTTATAAGACTTATTCTCCAGACCCCTCACCAGCTTTGTCGCCCTTCTCTGGACCCGCTCCAGCACCTCAGTGTCTTTTTTATGGTAGGGGGCCCAAAACTGGACACAGTACTCAAGGTGAGGCCTCACCAGTGCCGAGTACAGGGGGACAATCACCTCTCGGGCCCTACTCGCCACGCTGTTCCTGATATCAAAAAGGTTTAACTGGTTAGTTTTGTCCTGGCGGTCTGTGTGCCAGATTAGGTGTATCCATGCTATTCTAACATGTCATCAAATCCTTCTTGTCTTTCCACACCCCATGTAAAGCCACCAGATAGTCATAAAGTAGGCTCCATACCTGTGGGGTGACGAATGTCGTAGTGAGCCTGCTCCCTCCCTGGGTCAGATTTGTTCTGCTGTATTCATGATGGTGAACCACAGCCTCCTCTGCTTGTGGAGAGCAAGGACAGAAGGTCTTCATGGCACAGCCACGGACGTCAGGCTGCTTGGACTTGGTCACAGATAAACATCCAGCTACTCCTGTGATTTAAAAGAAAATTCAACCAGCCGTGGCCACCTCCCCATTGATTTGATAGGGGACTTCCTATTCTTTCCAGTTATTATTGCAGAAAGGAATATTTAAGTGCTCCCTCCTTCCACTTGACCTGAAGAAAAAGTGTTTAGAATATCTATAGGCTGCAGGACAGAGGATTACGGGTCTGTAATTTTCTATAGGTCTGCATAGTAACAGCCTTTTACACTTTCAGCATAACAGCATCTCGCAGCAACTTATCCCATCTATACAGAGGGAAGTGATCTTCTAATTAATGATTATGAAGGTTGGTTTGTGGTTTAATGAACATTTTTAGAAAAGTCAAAACGTTTGAAAAAGCACCAAGGTGAAAAGGAAGGCAGAGGAAATGTAATGCAAATATTAGGAGTGAATTCGAAACCCATGTGTAATTTCCAACGCACACTTGGATCCAAGCTTTCAACCAAATTGCTCATCATCCAAGTTGTTCAGGAGAAAATATTGACATACTCTTCAAAAAATTCCTGTTCCTTTTCCACAGATGTACAAAGCCTTCTCACAGAACAGAGAAAGAGTGAAACAGTGACTGCAGGGAGACAGGTGAAACTTTTCAAGGCGAGTGACAAAAGCCACTGAAGCCCAAACCTTGTTGGTAACGAAGAACTTCTGCTGTAGGACACAGTCTCAAAAGAAGACCAAGAGCTCCTGAAACTTGTTTCAGACAATTTTTAGTTCAGAAGGTGGAGAAAGCGATTGGAAATGCTATTTAAGTTCATGATTGAACTTGAAGGTGGGATGATTAACAGGTAACGGGAGAGAAAAAAACCCATTGATAGAACTTATAACCATCCAAATGTGGAAAAAAAGACAGGAAGCACATTAAAGGCCAACATAAAGATGAACAGATGCACCACGTAGCTGTAATGGCAGCTTTAAAAATACATAAGCAGTCTTTCTAAATTGTGCAAAAGGTGGAAACCAGCAGACAACTAAGAGTTAGTAGAAAGGAACAGCACAAGCAACGTAGGAACAAAATGAGAGACAAAGGTCCAAAATTAATTACAGTGAGGAAAGAACAAAGAAGGATATAGGAACATGTTCTCCTTAGGCATACTGGAAGCAGGAGCAAAACAAAAGAAAATCTTATTACTGACAGAGAAGGAGAACAAATAAAGGAAGGCACACACACACACAAAAAGCTGCGTCTTCTTTGCCTCAGCCTTCAAATAAAGTGAATTGCCACCAGTTACTAAACCCGACTTTTTAGGAAGGTGACAGCAACAGGTAGCAGCAGGAAGGAACACCCTAAATTGCATCGTTACACTGAGGTCAGCAGTGCCTGGAAAATATACTCCCCAGTATTTAGCAGGCCGGTCATAGACATTTTAAAATAATTGTTGTGTATTGACAAAAAAAACCCACAGCATTTGGTGGTTCTAAGCTGACTGCAGGAAGGGGGAGAAAGGTGGATCCGTGGATGCAAAACAGCTCAGCTTAACTGCAAAGTTCAGGAAGATAAAAAACTACCGACATACAAGCACTTTTGAGAGTGAGGTAAAGGTAAAAAGTGACAAATCAAAAAGTCACCATGAATTTGTCAAGAATAGGGGGGGACAGCTGTTCAGAGAGCAGCACTGAAAGGGATCCGGGGATTACAGGGGATCAGAAGAGTCTGAACCAACATGGTGATGCTATTGCAAACTTGGCAAATGCCACACTGAGATAGGTTACCTAATTAACCTGATTATTGGATATAGGTGGACAGAAGAATGCAAAGTTGAGTTCAGAGCAGCCTAAGAACGATAAAAGCTTTAGAAAATACGGCCTGGGAGATCATAAGCCCCATGAGAACTTGTTTAGCCTGAAAAAAATGAAGTTTAAGGGAGAGTATGGTAATATTATGTGAAACAATACAGTATCTAAAACATTAGTATAAATTGATGCTTATTAATTCGTATTAATTGTTCTTTTTATCTGCTAAACACTGGGCAAAGGGAAAGTTAAATTCACAGCCAAAGTACAGTTTGGATGCTGGAGAAAACTTTGTAGTTTTAAGGACAGTCGAGTGGTGAAATGGGCTATCGAGGAAGAATGCAAGATCTCCCTTACTGTAAGTTTTTAGAAAGAGATTAGAGTGGCTTTTGGCAGGAACAGTCACCCCTCAGAGCAGCAGCTTTTAAGTCTTAGTTGCAAAGTCCTTTGGTCCTAAAGGTGCTGTTAATACACGCCGTGTGCTTCCCTCAAAGAAACCCACAAAATAGACGGGACAAACCCTGATGGAAAGTGCATTTGTGAGGCAAACGAGAGCCAATTTCCCTTAATCCATGCCAAAGTTGGAGACTTCACCTTACGGCCTACCTCAAACTCACAGGCCCAGCACCGGGAAAGATCTCTGACGCTTCGGCTGAAACACAACACACCAAAAGGCAACTTTAGAGCCCAAACTAGGCCTGAAAACTCCTTGCCCGGCCCCACAGGCACTTACACCCCGGGCTCACCCCATTTTTAACTCGCCGGGGCCGGGGCGAACAAAGGCCGCGGCCCCTCGGCGGGCTGAGGTA